AGAACTACCAGAAGTACAGGGAGGATTTTGAAGAGGGAGAGGAACTAGAGATCAAATTGCCAACATATGCTGGATCATGGAGAAAGCTAGGGAGTTCCAGAAAAACATCTACTTCTTCTTCATTGACTATGCTAAAGCCTTTGATTGTGTGGATCACAACAAATTGTGGCAAGTTCTTAAAGAGATGGGAGTACCAGACCATCTTATTTGTCTCTTGAGAAACCTATACGTGGGTCAAGAAGCAACAGTGAGAACTGGGCACGGAACCACTGATTGGTTCAAAATTGAGACGGGAGTTCAGCAAGTCTGTATACTGTCGCCCTGCCTATTTATTTATTTTATTATTCATTTATTTATTTATTTAAAACATTGTTATGCTGCCCCCATCACAACGAAGCCTCGGGGAGGCTCAAAACAGAAACAAATATATAAATACACAAATAATAACAATAGAACAATAAAAAAAATTTAAAAATCCCCAGTGGATCTCGGCTAAAAATTTAAAATCCTCTAAATACAAATAATTTAACAATTAAAATAAGTGTTCAATAAAAAGGTCTTAGCCTGGTGCCAAAACACAAATAACGACGGCGCCAGGCGGACCTCTCTGGGGAGCACATTCCATAGGTGGAGCACCACTGCAGAGAAAGTCCTCCTCCGAGTACTCACCCTCCTAATATCATTCACAGAGGGTTCCCGGAGAAGGGCATCTGTTGCTGATCTCAAGGGGCAGGAGGGCATATATGGACGCAAGCATTCCTTTAGATATCCAGGTACCATGTCATTTAGGGCTTTATAGGTCATAACCAACACCTTGAATTGGGCCTGGACTTCAATCGGGAGCCAGTGGAGCTGACGGAGAACTGGGGTTATATGAGAACAACGCCCAGTCCCTGTCAGCAACCTGGCAGCTCTGTTCTGCACCAACTGAAGTATCCGGACTGTCTTCAAGGGTAGCCCCACGTAGAGCATGTTACAGAAATCTAATTGGGAAGTCACCAACGCGTGTGTCACTGTTGCCAGGCAGTCATTCTCCAGGACTCTTCTCCAGGGAGTCCTTCCTTCTCATTAGGTGGCCAAAGTATTTGAGTTTCATCTTCAGGATCTGGCCTTCTAAAGAGCAGTCTGGGTTGATCTCCTCTAGGACTGACCGGTTTGATCGCCTTGCAGTCCAAGGGACTTGCAGTAGTCTCCGCCAGCAGCACAATTCAAAGGCCACAATTCTTTAGCGCTCAGCCTTCCTTATGGTCCAACTTTCACAGCCATACATTGCAACTGGGAAAACCATAGCCTTGTCTATACGCACTTTTGTTGGCAGGGTGATGGCTCTGCTTTTTAGTATGCTG